CGCCTCCTCCTCCCACCTCACTTGCAAGCCCGCCCTCCGCGGCCAAACGTTTCTCCAATCAACGAGCCGAGACCGTGGCCGTCGCCGGATGTCACGTTGATTGACAGTAGAGGAGGCCCAATGGCTGAGTTTCTTCCGCCTCCTTTTCCCCATTTCCCAAGACGGGCATGATTCACGGCCCAATGGACGTATAAGCCCGCCCCCACGGCGTGGGCCCTCCAATAAGTGGGGCGAAGGGCCCTCTCGCCCCCGGCATCCGGGCCCCCTCGGCCATGCGCCCGCCACAGCGGGTATTACGAGCTGGGTGCGGAGTAAACTGTGCAGGCTGAGCGCTTCCAGGGCCTTCTTCGGCCGGGGAAGAAGGGCTTGGGACTGGGAGGTAGTGTCGCCGCCAAAGCGGCGGGACCCCCCCTTTGAGGGTTCCTACGGTGACTTGCAAAAGTCCAGTGCGACCCGAGGGGCGGGTCGAAGCGGAGTACAGAGCATGTGTTCCGTGTGGTGGCGACGCTGGTGTCGCCATCTTGGGTGCTGGCAGCGGAAACCGTTTTGCCAGCTTTCGCTTCGCGTGGAGGCACGCCTCTCACCAGCCTAGGATGGTGGCACCTCCGTCCCAGGCTCGGGCCACATCGCGGGAACAGCCCTGGGAACGGGTGGCCCCGACGGTGGAGGGGCGTTGCTGGTGTGCGGGATGCGGGGTAATGAGCGATGTTCGTCGGGATGAGACCTCCCGGAAGAGTGCCGCCTTCTCTCCGCTCTTCTCCCCGCCCAGCCTCCCACGGAGCTTGGTCTTGCCTCTCAGGAACTTTTCTCAGTGTCCTGTGTTCTCCGATCTCGTCTAGCCAACATCTTTGTGGTTTTTCAAACGTTTGTTTCTATCTCCAGCATCACTTGGGGAACTCGTTACACCCGCCAATGCTGAGGCCGCCTGCCTGCTTATTAAGGGGCTTGGTAACGTTTTCTTTCAATCCTCACCCACGGTTATGATTTCACTGGTTTTTAGAGGAAGGGGGAGGCCGGGCGAGAGAAACATCCATCAGTCTCCTCCGTTACCTGCCCCAACTCGATCAAACCTGCAGCCGAGGCACGTGTCCGGGCCTGGCTCAGCCCAGCAGCCTCTGGGTTCACAGGACAGGGCTGCAGCCCACGGAGCCCACGGCCAGGGCGCAGCCTGGGCCGCTAATGCAGCTGGTTGCGAGGCCACATGGAGGCGATCCCTGAGTGGCAGTTTGTGGTGCTTTGTTCCCAGCTGGAGGACAAGAAGGTGTCGACTCCAGTTCTTAACTTCCTGGGAGACCCTAGTCACCTATTGGTCCTTGTACAGCTAAGGAGGAAGTCACCGGGTAACCTGTCAAATAAGAGCATCCAGGCCATCACGTGTTTGGAGAGTTGGAGGCTGAATTTGGGGTGTTTCACAGATTATCAAGCACTTTCACCACATGAAAATATATACCAGCATCCAGTCATGGAATCCTCGGTTTGATACCCTTTCAAATACTGACCCGAAGAGCACATGGTTTAGCCGGGCCGGGATGGCTCAGTGGTTGAGCACTGACCTATGAACTAGGAGGTCACAGTTGCATTCCCGGTCAGGGCACATACCTGGGTTTCGGGTCCAATCCCCCTGATTTGGATGCGTACAGGAGGTGACCAATAGATAGCTTTCTCTCACGTTGATGTTTCTCTCCCCCTTCCTTTCTCTAAAATCAATGGACATGCTCTTGGGTGAGGATTTTTAAAAACTGGGCAGTCTTTTATGGGGAGTACTGGAAAAGTCCGTTTGTATTTCCCAAGTCCCTTTTAAGCTGTACAGCACAGTACCAGGTGCCTAGGACAAGAAATGAAGCCATCTGGTAGATATATAACTAACACGAAATCAAATACATAAGAAATATTCACTGAAATGAAATGGCAGCTATTGGTGGGAAGCCCACACTGGGGAGATAACATGTGATATTGTCACATTAACTTTGAAAGCCTAAATTCATTTGGTCACTTTTTAATGACTCAGTTTCTTGAAGTGGCACTTTTACCCATCCTCTCCTTTCTCTCTTCTCTGGGGTCCTGGGTGTGGAGGGAGTGGCTCACGCTGAGAGAATGGGGGGGGGGCTATTTAATTCTTAAGAGGAGGGGTGGAGAGGTCTTTTGTTTTTGCCTACAATCCTATTCATGCTCTTTTTGCCTTCCAACTTCAAGTACTGTGTTGAAAGGTATATAAAATTACTTGAATGTACAGGGGAGAGAGAGGGATTATGAACTGTGTTGTTAGGTTAAAGGAACTACTCTTGGTGGTTAAAAAAAGTTTACTGCTTTAGCAATTACCCAAAGGTGGGAAGAGAACAGGAAAGACAAAGAATTGCTGGCCCGTTGCAAGGACTGAGGAGAATACTATATAGCTATAGAGACAATGTCAGGCAGCAGCAAGCCATTAGGCCTGTCGGGGTGTGGGCACCCAGGATATGTAATACTCCACGGGAGGGAGCAGAGATCGAAAGGCTGTCTTCCACGCTTGTCTAGAGTTCCAGATCAAGTCTGAGCAGGTGCAAACCTTCCCTGGACCCACTGATTAACCTTGTAAAATCCAGGGTGTGTCCTTCTCCCAGGAAGCTGCCCTCCTCCCTTCTCCCGACACCCCCATCCCCTCGCCTGGGACAGCTGTTCATAGGACATTTACTCAAGAAGCAAAAGAAAGATGCCATGCTGATGTGTCATCGGTCCTGATATACCCATTGAATCAGACCGAAAAGACCACTGGAAAAAGTGAGCACATGCGCTTTCTCCCTGAGGGCGAGGCTGGGAGCCTTCGCTAAAGCCAAGCCTTGCCCCTGCGACTCCCTGCTGCTCCGGAGAGAAGAGAAGGCTGCAGGAAGCCAGCGAGAGGCTTAGTCCTAATACACGGGGATTTGGGGCCATAAAGAGAGCCGGGTATCTATGAAATCCCCTCTCGTCCTGGTCATCTCTGTTGACCCAGCTTCCTCTATAGGAAAAGTTGTTGCTGCCACCAGCAGGCACAGCCATCGTCCAGTCATCCTGCAAGGATGGAAACCCCCGGAGAGGGGGGTGTGGGAAGGTGGACTGGCTGGGGCTTGGATTGTTCTGGAAGAGCAGGAATTGCTTTTTCCCCTAAGGAGGAATGCAGTCTTTCTGCTCTTCGGATTGCCCATTATTTTTTCCTTTCTTTAAAAATGTTTTTAGCCCTAGCCAGTTTGGCTCAGTGGAGAGAGCCCTTAGACTGAAGGGTCCCCGAGTTTGATTCTGGTCAAGGGCACATACCTTGGTTGCAGGCTTGATCCCCGTGTGGGAGGCAACCAATCGATGTGTCTCACATTGAGATTTCTCTCTGTCTCTCCCCCTCCACTCTCTCTAAAAAAAACACACACACACAAAAACAAGTTTTTAAATGTTGCTAATCTATATAAATATTTCTCAATTTCCAACTTCCATCTAGTCCAGAGCAATGGATTAGATGCCTGCCTAAGATTTCCTTACACCCTTCTGAGGTTCTAGGATTACATTCTGTCAATACTAAATGGTATCATGTTTTGCAAGGAAATCAATTAGTTTTCCAGCTAATCCAGACATCTGGCGCCTACCTTACTTGGTAAACATCATTAGCAAGCTTGTTACCATTAAACCACCAAAATAGGTAAAGCCTCTCCCTGTGCACCCATCACACCTGTCTTGGGAGATTGCTCCTTAACCCTAGCATCACCTGGGGGGCTTGTAAAAGCTATCAATGCCCGGCCCTAGCGGCGTTTTCAGTGGTTAGTGTTGGCCTGAGCACTGAAGGATCTCCGGTTCGGTTCCCAGTCAGGGGCATTTACCTGGGTTGCAGGTTTGCTCCCTGGTTGGGGCATGTGCGGGAAGCAAACAGTCGATATGTCTCTCTCACATCAGTATCTCTCTTTTGCTCGTTCTCTCTCTCTCTCTCTCTCTCTCTCTGTCTCCCTCCCTCCCTCCCTCCTTCCACTCTCTTTAAAAATCAATAGGAAGCTGAAACCAGTTTGGCTCAGTGGATAGAGCATCGGCCTGCGGACTGAGGGGGCCCGGGTTCGATTCCGGGCAGGGTCATGTACCTGGGTTGTGGGCACATCCCCAGTGGGGGATGTGCTGGAGGCAGCTGATCGATGTTTCTGGCTCTCTATCCCTCTCCCTTCCTCTCTGTAAAAAGTCAATAAAATATATTTTTAAAAAAAATCAACGGGAAGACCTAGCTGGTTTGGCTCAGTGGATAGAGCATTGGCTTGCGAACTGTTCGATTCCAGCCAACAGCACATGAGGGGTCTCCGGCTCAATTCTGGCCAAAGGCACATGCTGGGTTGTAGGCTTGATCCCCACTACGGGGCATGCAGGAGGCAGCCGATCAATGATTCTCTCTCATCATTGATGTTTCTATCTCGCTCTCCCTCTCTCCCTCTCCCTCTCCCTCTCCCTTCCTCTCTGAACTCAATAAAAATATATTTTTAAAAAAATAAAAATCAATGGGAAAAAATACCCTCGGGTGAGGATTAACAAAACAAAAACATCAATGCCCAGGTCCTACCGCCAACCAGTCTCCCAGAGCAGCCCTGGGCATCAGAGGTTTGTGAAAGCTCAACTGGTGATTCTTCTGCGTAGCCAGAGCACCACGAGCTTGGAGTAAGAACCCAGACTGGGTAAGAAAGGACAGCAGTGGCCCTGGCCGGGCAGGTCAGTTGGTTAGAGTATCGCTGCATCACTGAAAGGTTTGGGTTCGGGTTTATTCCCCTGTCGGGGCAAGTACGGGAGAAAACTAATCGATGTTTCTCTCATATCAATGTTTCTCTCTCTCCCACTCTCCAAAATCAATAAAAACATACCTTAGGTAAGGATTAAAAAAAGGACAACAGTGATATTGCATGAGCACCCACCAGAATCACTGCCTGAAAAAGGATGTAGTATTTCTCCATCCCCAAATGCTCTCTTCCTTGACCTAGCTAGCCAGGGAAAACACCTCATGGTTCATTCATGTCTTGGTATAACGTTTTAGGAAGCTGAGCCCTGTAAGTCCTCCCCGCGTTGTCCCTAACAATGCTGGGTAATTTTCTTTGTATATATTGCACTCCATGGGGCACGTCACAATCAGGGAGGCCCTATTGTAAGAGTGTTTTGGACTCAGAGCTGGGTTCAAAACTATGGCTCTGCCACTTACGAGTTGAGGCCTCCTGAGCTAAGTGGAAATAACAGTATACACATTCAAAGTCTAAAAATCAGACTGATGTGCCCTGGCTAGGGGGCTGGGTTGGTTAGAGCATCAGCCCATATGCCAAACGGTTTTGGGTTCAATTCCCAGGCCCAGTGGGCACAGGAGGGAACCCGTCGATGTTCCTCTCTTACACCGATGTTTCTGCCTCTCTCTCCCTTCCTCTCTCTAAAAATCAAGGGAGGGAAGAGGTTTGGGTTTAAAAAAAAATCAGATCCTACGGATAAAGTCACTCAGGCATAGAGCTGATCGCTAGGTCCCTGCCCACCCTACAACCTTTTTCTCCCAGAGAAAGCCAAAGACATTGAAGATATGAGAGCTGTGCGTAGGGTGGTCAACTGGAAACCAGCCTGCACACAGAGCATGGAAGCTTTCATTTTCTCTCTGCAGAATACCGCAGGCACACACACCCATGCCTCACATTCCACACACACCTCCCCCTCTTGACATTATAGCAGGAAAGATAGAGCTGCTACCCAAGGGAGCTGTTGCTTCTTGTCACACAGGAACAGATGCCAAAATCCTAGGACAGACAACACAGAAATGTGGCGGCAGCAGGCTGAGTCCGAGGAAACAGAATGGACTCACCTCCAAGACATACCAAGGCCCAGAGGGGAACCCATTTGAATCACTTGCCTCTTGGAGATTCCAAAGGGTGTGTGTGTGTGTGTGTGTGTGTGTGTGTGTGTGTGTGTGTGTTCAGGACCAATTCTGAGTTCAGCTACTCCACAGATGCTGGTTAGATATGCGAATGCCCCCACCCCCAGCACACCCACCCCGAAGGGAGCAGAGAGCAGGGAAACATAAAGGCTGTGTTGTTGTTTTTTTAATAGGGTTAGCTCTGGCAGGGGTTGCTCAGTGGTTAGAGTGTCAGCCCTTGGACCAAAGGGTCTCTGGTTCAATCCCATGCCCCGAGAGTGGGAGGCAGCCAATTGACGTCTCTCTCTCTCTCCCTCTCTCCCTCTCTCTCTCTCTCTCTCTCTCCCTCCTCCTCCTTTCTCTCTCCCTCCCTTCTACTCTCTGAAAAGCAATGGGAATCCCTCCCTCTCCTCCACTCTATCTAAAAATAAATGAAAAAAATATCCGCAGGTGAGAATTTAAAAAAAGAAAATACATATATATGGTTTTATTTATTTCAGAGAGAGGAAGAGAGAGAGCAAAACATTGATGTGAGAGAGAAACACTGATAAGCTGCCTCCTGCATACCCCCTACTGGGAATCGAGCCTGCAACCCAGGCATGTGCTCTGACAGGGAATTGAACCAGTGACCTCCTGGTGCTTGAGCCAGCTCTGGCTTCCTCATTCTGGGGAGGTTTTCTGCTGCACTTGGCCGCTCCTCGGGTGCCGCCAGGCTTGCACTGTGAGGTCCTCTTGAGGCGATGCTCTGTGGGAGACACTGGCCCGGCACTGTGCACTCTGAGCTTGTATTTTCACATAGAATCTCATTAAAGGGGCAGCCTAGGCTGGGGCCCTGAGGAGGAGAATCAATGAGGAGAATCTCTTCCTTGAAAACTTAACTTGAAGGCTCTGAATTTATTCACCATAGCATCCTGGGGATTAAAAAAGAGCAGCCAAGGTGGTGGTGGTGGTGGTGGTGGTGGTGGTGGTGGTGGTAAGGATTTTATGGTCCTTAAGCTTCCTTTCCTGGCCTTCTCTTTTTAAAAAATATATATATTTTATTCTCTCTCTCTCTCCCCCTTCCTCTCTGAAATTCTCTCTTTCTTTCTCTCTCTCTCTCTCTCTTCCTCTGTCTCTTTTCATAACAAAAGAGTTAACTAACTTACAAGATTG